TATATATATATATATATATATATATATATATATATATATAATCGTTTGTTTGACACAGTCCACAGTCTGAAGTATGAAATATAATGATGCGATAATCATGTACGTGAGCTCCATGTGTTACTAGAACGTTTTTGACATTTTGAGTGGCAAGGCGACGTTTTTCATAATCTGGACTGCCGTACCAATTCTCAAAACTTTAATTTGAGCAGGAGACTTCCTCTTCAGCATTGCTGCCGATTCACTTAACGGATATGTATTACCCTAAGTAGCCATATCGGCACATACTGAACCTTGATTTGTTGCCTTTTAATAATGATGTTCTGCATTCCAACCCACAACTAATAGGAATTAGAAGAAGAGGAAGCCAGACGGCGTCGGGAAGAGGCGGAAGCCGAAGATGACGAATCCGATGGTGGGGGTAACGCTGGAGATGGTGCCACTAGCGATCCTGGTAAAAGAAGCGGTAAGAAGAAAGCAAAGAAGCGCAAAGGTAACAAAAAAGGTAATACATCCACCGCCAGCAAGCGCAAGCGATTAGACGGCCCTATTGATTGCGCCCAAGAACTATCTCGAAAGGTGTACGACACAATGGATAAACTGAAAGAAATTTTCTTCGTTATACGCCTGCACCGCCACAATTCCGCCGCATCTCTGCCACCTACTACAGACCCAGATCAACCAGTACACAGCGAGTTGATGGACAGCCGCGACGCCTTCCTGCAAATGGCCAGGGAGCGCCACTTAGAGTTTTCGTCTCTCCGACGGGCGAAGTATTCCACGATGGTGCTACTTTATGAACTGCACATGGAGTTGAGGCAAAGTTTCATGTACAACTGCAACGTTTGTGGTGCCCAAATAGAAACACGGTGGCACTGTAACGACTGTGAAGAGTATGATCTTTGTTCAAGGTGCTACAAAACGGAAAACCATCCGCATCCCATGGTCAAATATGGTCTTGGTATCGATGAGGATTCTAATTCAGCTGAGGGAGCTAATGATCGTGCAGCGGGTGCTAGTTCGACAACTGACAGGCGTAGCAGTATCGAAAGATGCATCAAGTCGCTTTTGCATGCATGCCAATGCCGGGACGCAAACTGCCGTATGCAGACTTGCACCCAGATGAAACGAGTTCTTTGCCACGCGCGCAACTGTGTGAAGAAGGCAACAAATAGCTGTGTACTTTGCCGACAATTACTATCCCTTTTATGGCATCACGCTCGCTGTTGCGAAGAGTCCAAGTGTTCGGTACCTTTCTGTGCCAACATCAAGTATCGCGTCAAACAAAAACAGTTGCAACAACGGCTTCAACAGAACAAACTCCTGCGTCGTCGCATTTCCACCATGCATCGCGGTGCGAACCCTCCTTCAGATCACACATCTATGACTCCGCACCCCGTGGCGGTGGCATCCACCAGTGTCCCAGTAACGGATCCGACACATGGTCGCCCATCGGATTCGCCTTCAGGTCTTTCAACACTTGGTTCCGGAGGTTCGAACAGTCAACTGATAACGGCTGCACACTCGTCCTCCGGCAGTTTTCAATCGACGCAGTATGGGAATCAACTCTCCCAGCAATCTTCCTCCATGCTTGTAGCTGTTGGGGACAATCCCCCGCATCTGCAAGGAACAGCTCCAGTGCA